ATTGCTGTGGCCTTGTGGTGGCTTTTGCGTGCGGGAGTGGCGCGTGTTGGGCTTGTTGGGGTACCTTTTCCCTGCGGAGCTATGCGAACTTGTGGAGGGTTTTGGAGGGTTTGAGGCCTGGCAAACGGCAGCCTTGAACGCCTATAAGAAGCCATTGCAGCGGCCGGAAGGTGCCCTTGAGCCATTGCTGTGGCCTTGTGGTGGCTTTTGCGTGCGAGCATTGCGCCTGGAGGGCTTGTTGGGTTACTTTGTCCATGCGGAGCTGGGCGAACTTTTGGAGGGTTTGGAGCGTTTGGAGGGTTTTGGAGGGTTTTGGAGGGTTTGAGGCCTGGCAAACGGCAGCCTTGAACGCCTAAAAGAAGCCATTGCTGCGGCCGGAAGGTGCCCTTGAGCCATTGCTGTGGCCTTGTGGTGGCTTTTGCGTGCGGGAGTGGCGCGTGTTGGGCTTGTTGGGGTACCTTGTCCCTGCGGAGCTATGCGAACTTTTGGAGGGTTTTGGAGCGTTTGGAGGGTTTGAGGCCTGGCAAACGGCAGCCTTGAACGCCTATAAGAAGCCATTGCTGCGGCCGGAAGGTGCCCTTGAGCCATTGCTGTGGCCTTGTGGTGGCTTTTGCGTGCGGGAGTGGCGCGTGTTGGGCTTGTTGGGGTACCTTGTCCCTGCGGAGCTATGCGAACTTTTGGAGCGTTTGGAGGGTTTTGGAGGGTTTGAGGCCTGGCAAACGGCAGCCTTGAACGCCTATAAGAAGCCATTGCTGCGGCCGGAAGGTGCCCTTGAGCCATTGCTGTGGCCTTGTGGTGGCTTTTGCGTGCGGGAGTGGCGCGTGTTGGGCTTGTTGGGGTACCTTGTCCCTGCGGAGCTATGCGAACTTTTGGAGGGTTTTGGAGCGTTTGGAGGGTTTGAGGCCTGGCAAACGGCAGCCTTGAACGCCTATAAGAAGCCATTGCTGCGGCCGGAAGGTGCCCTGGAGCCATTGCTGTGGCCTTGTGGTGGCTTTTGCGTGCGAGCATGGCGCCTGGAGGGCTTGTTGGGGTTACTTTGTCCCTGCGGAGCTGGGCGAACTTTTGGAGGGTTTGGAGCGTTTGGAGGGTTTTGGAGGGTTTTGGAGGGTTTGAGGCCTGGCAAACGGCAGCCTTGAACGCCTAAAAGAAGCCATTGCTGCGGCCGGGGGGTGCCCTTGAGCCATTGCTGTGGCCTTGTGGTGGCTTTTGCGTGCGGGAGTGGCGCGTGTTGGGCTTGTTGGGGTACCTTTTCCCTGCGGAGCTTGCGAACGTTTGGAGGGTTTGGAGGGTTTTGGAGGGTTTGAGGCCTGGCAAACGGCAGCCTTGAACGCTTATAAGAAGCCATTGCAGCGGCCGGAAGGTGCCCTTGAGCCATTGCTGTGGCCTTGTGGTGGCTTGTGCGTGCGGGAGTGGCGCGTGTTGGGCTTGTTGGGGTACCTTTTCCCTGCGGAGCTATGCGAACTTTTGGAGGGTTTGGAGAGTTTTGGAGGGTTTGAGGCCTGGCAAACGGCAGCCTTGAACGCCTATAAGAAGCCATTGCAGCGGCCGGAAGGTGCCTTTTCCCTGCGGAGCTATGCGAACGTTTGGAGGGTTTGGAGGGTTTTGGAGGGTTTGAGGCCTGGCAAACGGCAGCCTTGAACGCCTATAACATAAGAAGCCATTGCAGCGGCCGGAAGGTGCCCTTGAGCCATTGCTGTGGCCTTGTGGTGGCTTGTGCGTGCGGGAGTGGCGCGTGTTGGGCTTGTTGGGGTACCTTGTCCCTGCGGAGCTATGCGAACTTTTGGAGCGTTTGGAGGGTTTTGGAGGGTTTGAGGCCTGGCAAACGGCAGCCTTGAACGCCTATAAGAAGCCATTGCAGCGGCCGGAAGGTGCCTTTTCCCTGCGGAGCTATGCGAACGTTTGGAGGGTTTGGAGGGTTTTGGAGGGTTTGAGGCCTGGCAAACGGCAGCCTTGAACGCCTATAATATAAGAAGCCATTGCTGCGGCCGGAAGGTGCCCTTGAGCCATTGCTGTGGCCTTGTGGTGGCTTTTGCGTGCGGGAGTGGCGCGTGTTGGGCTTGTTGGGGTACCTTGTCCCTGCGGAGCTATGCGAACTTTTGGAGCGTTTGGAGGGTTTTGGAGGGTTTGAGGCCTGGCAAACGGCAGCCTTGAACGCCTATAAGAAGCCATTGCTGCGGCCGGAAGGTGCCCTTGAGCCATTGCTGTGGCCTTGTGGTGGCTTTTGCGTGCGGGAGTGGCGCGTGTTGGGCTTGTTGGGGTACCTTTTCCCTGCGGAGCTTGCGACTTTTGGAGGGTTTGGAGGGTTTTGGAGGGTTTTGGAGGTTTGAGGCCTGGCAAACGGCAGCCTTGAACGCCTATAAGAAGCCATTGCTGCGGCCGGAAGGTGCCCTTGAGCCATTGCTGTGGCCTTGTGGTGGCTTGTGCGTGCGGGAGTGGCGCGTGTTGGGCTTGTTGGGGTACCTTTTCCCTGCGGAGCTATGCGAACTTTTGGAGGGTTTGGAGGGTTTTGGAGGGTTTGAGGCCTGGCAAACGGCAGCCTTGAACGCCTATAAGAAGCCATTGCTGCGGCCGGAAGGTGCCCTTGAGCCATTGCTGTGGCCTTGTGGTGGCTTTTGCGTGCGGGAGTGGCGCGTGTTGGGCTTGTTGGGGTACCTTGTCCCTGCGGAGCTATGCGAACTTTTGGAGGGTTTGGAGGGTTTTGGAGGGTTTGAGGCCTGGCAAACGGCAGCCTTGAACGCCTATAAGAAGCCATTGCTGCGGCCGGAACAGCGGCCGGAAGGTGCCTTTTCCCTGCGGAGCTATGCGAACGTTTGGAGGGTTTGGAGGGTTTTGGAGGGTTTGAGGCCTGGCAAACGGCAGCCTTGAACGCCTATAATATAAGAAGCCATTGCAGCGGCCGGAAGGTGCCCTTGAGCCATTGCTGTGGCCTTGTGGTGGCTTGTGCGTGCGGGAGTGGCGCGTGTTGGGCTTGTTGGGGTACCTTGTCCCTGCGGAGCTATGCGAACTTTTGGAGCGTTTGGAGGGTTTTGGAGGGTTTGAGGCCTGGCAAACGGCAGCCTTGAACGCCTATAAGAAGCCATTGCTGCGGCCGGAAGGTGCCCTTGAGCCATTGCTGTGGCCTTGTGGTGGCTTTTGCGTGCGGGAGTGGCGCGTGTTGGGCTTGTTGGGGTACCTTTTCCCTGCGGAGCTGGCCGGACGTTTGGAGGGTTTGGAGGGTTTTGGAGGGTATGGAGGGTTTGAGGCCTGGCAAACGGCAGCCTTGAACGCCTACAAGAAGCCATTGCTGCGGCCGTGGGGTGGTCTTGAGCCATTGCTGTGGCCTTGTGGTGACTTTTGCGTGCGAGAGTGGCGCATGTTGGGCGGAAGGTTTGGAGGGTTTGAGGCCTGGCAAACGGCAGCGTTGAACGCCTATAAAAGAAGCCATTGCTGCGGCCGTGTGGTGCTCTTGAGCCATTGCTGTGGCCTTGTGGTGGCTTTTCCGTGCGGGAGTGGCGCGTGTTGGGCTTGTTGGGGTACCTTTTCCCTGCGGAGCTGGCCGGACTTTTGGAGGGTTTTGGAGGGTTTTGGAAGGTTTGAGGCCTGGCAAACGGCAGCCTTGAACGCGTATAAAAGAAGCCATTGCTGCGGCCGTGGGGTGCTCTTGAGCCATTGCTGTGGCCTTGTGGTGGCTTTTGCGTGCGAGAGTGGCGCGTGTTGGGCTTGTTGGGGTACCTGTTCCCTGCGGAGCTGGCCGGACTTTTGGAGGGTTTGGAGGGTTTTGGAAGGTTTGAGGCCTGGCAAACGGCAGCCTTGAACGCGTATAAGAAGCCATTGCTGCGGCCGTGGGGTGCCCTTGAGCCATTGCTGTGGCCTTGTGGTGGCTTTTGCGTGCGGGAGTGGCGCGTGTTGGGCTTGTTGGGGTACCTTTTCCCTGCGGAGCTGGCCGGACTTTTGGAGGGTTTGGAGGGTTTTGGAGGGTTTGAGGCCTGGCAAACGGCAGCCTTGAACGCGTATAAGAAGCCATTGCTGCGGCCGTGGGGTGCCCTTGAGCCATTGCTGTGGCCTTGTGGTGGCTTTTGCGTGCGGCAGTGGCGCGTGTTGGGCTTGTTGGAAAAGTTCCACACCTGCGGTGGTCCCAGGCGCCGCCCCGGCCTTGGCGAAGGCCGGGGTCGGCGGATTCTACATTAAAATCCATCAAAATCCTATGAACATCCCATGAAATCCTTGTAAAATGCTTGTGAATTCCTTGCACAATCCCTATTTTTAGTCCCCATAATATCCCTATAAATTCCTATAAAAACCGTATAACATCTCATGTATTCCCTATGAAATCCCATGAACAAGTCCCTTTTAGAAAATTCCAGGATGGCGAGGCCATCGATTTGGCCTTCAACAAGAAACGTGCAGACGACCGGAAGGCGCTTGACAAATCTCGCTGGGATGTTGATTTCTGGAGGATTTGATGGATGATTTGGTGGTAAATGATGGTGATTTATGGTGAGTTATGGTGATTTCTGGGATGATTTATGGAGGATTGATGGATGAGTTTATCTTGAATCTATGAGAAAAAAGGTTTGATATGATTTGGTTTATATCTTATTGAGTTGTGGCCGACAGCGAGTTTTTTTTTTTGCGGCTGGTCTGCAAAATGCAAACCCCCCCCCAGTTTGTTGGACGGGCCGTTAGGTCAGTTGCAGCAGCGTTTTTCTTGTGGCGCCGGCCATGTGAAACAAAAACAGAGAGCAAGCATAATTAAGAATACTGCATATGAATCAAGTCAGACGAACAAACACAACAAGATGATTTGTGATGAAGGATTCAGGCCTTTGGTTTTTGTGTTCCCTGACATAGAGCAAGGCGGCTTGCTTTGTTGCCCTAAGTTGTGGCGATGGTTAAAATCTCTGCAGATTTTGGAGTCGTAACCATCATTTTCCCAGGGTCATAACCATCATTCATTGCCTCTTCAAAAAACTGGGTTATGACGTTGATGCTGAATCCAGTGGGAAAATCAATTTTAATATATGTTAATAACGTGGGCCATCATAACCATCATAAACCACTGGGGGTGTGAAAGTCCATTACCACGTTGCGAAAAGGATAACACCGAGGGAGTTCGACCACTTGGCTCACAGCAGGATTGGATCAACAGCTATGAAGATGGCACGGTGGTTTCTTGGATCCAGGGACTCCAAGTCACCTTGTGGGCCGTTGATACCTTGGTTGATTGTTGATGGAATAGGGAATTATGCTACCTGGGTTATTGGAACATATTGGAACATAATTATATAGTAAGAAAACCTATCAACCAATGATGAGATCGATGGGATATATAGGGGTATTTTGAGGGATCATGAGTACTCACCACACAAATGGGACAACACCACTTTAGATATTCTGTCAACACTTTGTTCGGGAGCACATTTCATCACAACTTGTTGTCAATCCGAGCATTGCAGTGCATCATGTTCAGCCCGCCATGACAGGATAGCCATTGTTATCCATCATTATTTTTCTCATAGGTCCATCTCAATCTGAGTATCCCGTAGTCATGCCATCTATTTGTTTTATTTCCCGATACTTAGGTTACTGCTGTATAGTATGTTATAGTCATTTTGCATAGTCATTTCGCATAGTCAGTTCATGTTATTGTGGCATTGTCATCCAATCTGAGTGAGTATCCCATAGTTACCATAGTTATGTCCCATATTTATCCCACAAGAAGCCAACACATTTTCCGAATCGTCATGTCTTCCCAAAACATCCTTTAGGACGGGCCCAAACATCGCGTGCCGAGGTGGATCATACCAAGCCCATCACCTATACCGAGTTCATCAATAAGGACGAGTGAATGATACGTTTGAACGATACGAGTGTAGTACACCCTCCAAAAGATAGATACCCCCCTTTTTTTCCAGCATGCTAGTCTGACGTTGTTTTTCCCAAAAGACATCGGGGGTTTTGAAACTTTTTGGCATCTTTGTTGGGGGGTGCTATTTTCGTTGTTGGAGATATCTCCATGCATTCTCCGACCCCAGGATGGCCCAAGAACCTCAAAGCTCGCCAGGAGTTGGTTCAGTTTGCCAAGTACGATGTGCAACGGCTGGGGCTCCAGCTCCGACCCCGCACCAACTGTGGGTTTCCTATGGGATACTATGGCCTTATCGAAGCAATACAAAGAGAGGTACCCCTCAGTGAATCAGAAAGATCCAGAAAGATCAATGATCGATAGTCTAGGCTGGTACTGTTGATAGTATTTGGAAGGCACTTTTTTCTTTTTGCACTAATCATTATTGAAACCGGGATGGAATCAAACCCATTGTAATTCATTACAACATGTTTTGTTGACGATGAACATCCATTGACCACCTATATTTTGGTGTTCACCTTCCGGTACAACGGTGTTTTCACCCCCCCTGAGGTCTGTTCCATCCTTGGTGGATGGCTTCAAGCCATCGCAGCGAAAGGTGCTCTTCTGCGCCTTCAAAAAGCGCTTGTGACTCGACGCTCGCGGACAGCGTCGCTTTGTTGGGCGGGACACGGTGGAAGACGGCTGTGGCATGCTGTGGCGCCGTTGATGCTTATTGATGTTTATTGTGCCATATTGTGCCACAAGATTCACTGAAGCTGGCTATGTCAATGATAGTGCCTTTTTGTTGCCCATAGAATTATAGCCGGTCATTGACCCGTACTTCGATCCAAATCCTTGCTGAAAAGGTACAGTAGACCCCAGATGCCGACTGTCCCACCCGTAACTTTGCCTAGTAGCCACAAATGTGGATCGTAAGCCATAAATTGTTGGTTATTGATGAATGAGTCTGAATGAGTACTTGTTGAATACTGTAATTAATTTCATTTGCGGTGTAGCATACACATTTTGGATTATAACATAGTATAACGAATTATAACATATTATAATATATATATAACATATTATAACATATTAGAACATATTATAAATGTGTATGTACTATATATAATTATATATATATTACTATATATATATATATAACTTATATAACTATATTATATATATAGAGACTTGGACATATATTTTTCTCCGACCGCCCAAGGCGCCACGACATCAAGGTGGCTCAATTCGTGCGGGACCCGCTGTCATCGTTCATCGCTGATCGCTGATGATCGTTGATCGCTTTCATGGATTCATAACAATACTGTAGTGGCAATGATAATGAATAGTTATAATACCAATAATGATAATGAAAATAACGATGATGATGATGATCATCATCATCATCATCATCGACCCCTCATTGATATGGTTCAGAACGATCACCACTATCACAACTATCACAACTTCGCAGTCCTCAGGTGGGTTACATCTCGGAACAATCTGCATATCATCATGGCGAGGTCTGTCCGAACATGTCCGGATGGCGAAATGACAACGGTGGCCGGAGATGTGTGGCAGCGATGCGGTTGGTAACTATGGTTGTAGTTATATCGGTTAATCATGGTCAATCAAGTTCAAATTATTGTTTAATTTTGTTTGATGTTGTTTCATAGCGATTCATATTTCATATTGCAATTTGATATTATTTAATATAATTTAGTGTGATTTCCACATAAACAGGAATGGATTCAATGCCCTTCAAATGTTCCCGTCAAAAGGAACAACAAAAAACAACAAATAACAACAACAACAACAACAACAACAGGAACAAAAACAATAACAATAAGAAGAAGAACAACAACAAAAAACAAGAACAAGAACAATAACAAAAACAATAAGAAAAAGAAGAAGAAGAAAAAGAAAAAATAATAAGAAGAAGAAAACGAAGAAGAAGAACAACAACAACACCAACACCAACACCAGCAACAACACCACCACCACCAGCAACAACAACAACAACAGCAACACCACCAATGTGCGATCAATGATGTCCCATTTGTTTCCTTCAAACCTGCATATACCAAGATTTCTTTGGCAAGGCCGTTTTTACCGACGGTGATCACGGTGACCGGTCAAGTCATTGGGGTTCCAGGTGTCCCTGGAAAACACCATCGTGAACTTGGCGCAGAACTTCGTGGGTGCCTGGGCGATGCAGGGTGAAATCTGATAGAACATGATAGAACATGATATATATAGACCAAAAAAAACAACAAACGTAAACAACCAGGGCAAGTCGCAAGTCTTAACCCCCTCAAATTCCATCATTACATAGAACATCATAGAACTACACAAAAAGGCTGTAGTCTTACTCAGTCTTACCCGTAAAATCCGTCATCCAAGAGTATCAACTGAGTGGTGTTGCCAAGGTTCTAACAACACCAACCTCTTGGTGCCTTCCGGGCAATTTGGGACACGCCTTCAGGGTGGTAAGGACTGGAAATCCAGGGTGGCATGGACCATGGATCTAAATCCTGAGTAGTAACGGAAAGAGTTGGTATTTAGATGCAATAGTAACAAGATATGTTTAAATATCTCCCATCTGCTCCATGTATGGTATATTTACCTACATTTGGGTGATTATCAGGGCAAATGTTGGTAAATATCCCATACATGGAGCATATGGGTTTAGATCTGGTAAACACATGGTGAGATTGAAATTCCCTAAATGTTCCAGTGGCGTACTAGTGAAGAATCCAAACGTAACGGAACAGCTTAGTCTAATCCCGCCATTCAAAAGAGAAAGGTCTCAATATACACCATCCATGGGTCTGCTTGGAGCAAAGCTTGAAATGCAACACAAAAACTGGATGGTTCATGATTATGATTCAATACAAAGAGTAGTAGCCCATGGCAAGCATTTTCAGCTCATGTTCACAAAACGAAAACAAAACAACACACATTAAACTTTCATGAGCTTCCCTATGTTTGATGGCAATTAATTAACATCAGTTTAAACCAGTTACCCTCCGGTACCCTGTACTCTAAGATAGCTACGGAAAATTGCCCATTCAGTTCGATGATGACCTATCAAACATGGACATATTCCATAATTATGTTGAAATTCCAGGGGGTAAATCATCTTAAATCCCACAAAATCCGTTAAACATCACTAAACACCAATAAATACCATTGAATAACCACCATTAAATGTCAAATTACCCGATGGTTTAAAACTCCCTGAGATTTTTGACCAGGACCACGCGGCGGCGCGTTACATCTACACAAGGCCATCGATGGGGGTTTCCGTGAATTGGGGATTTCTAAAATGGATGGTTTATAAGGGAAAATCTTATTAAAATGGGATGATTTAGGGGCACCATTTTAGGAAACCTCCATATGTGGATTCAATGTGGATGGGTTTGAATGAAAATGGGGAATAGCGTAGGAATCCCCCTCTAATGGCCATTTGAATGGAAAACATGATGATCCATTGGCAGTGGGGGTACCCTATTTTCATATCAAAACGCAGCCATGAGATCACAAAACATTGAGGAACACTGGCAGGCCAGGTGACCAACAGCAATGCTGCATCCCAACTGCAAACAAATGGATACCTAAGAAGACAGTGGCACCAATGGGATCTATGATATCAATCTCTGACATCCCCTGAGAGAATCGGATAAAATAGCCAACAGATCAACAGCCAATACAGTAGCAGCCTTTCTGAACATCCATCCTCAACCGGAATGCGACGGGGAAACGCTTCGCCGCTTCGCAGGTTGAACCACGTGACCCGTGTGCTGTTTCAGCAGGATGATGTGCCCTGGTGAAACGGCACGAAGGGACATACTCGGACCTATGTGGCCCCTTGGATACTGTAACGGAGTTGGCAAACATCACCAAGCCAACAGCTAACTGCTGGATCGATATATATATATATATATACATGTTTTACTAGACACTAAACCACTAGTTATAGATGATCTATGTTGATGTAGTTAGATGATATGTATAACTTTACAAACCAACAAGTATAACTGGGGAGGCCCCTTTTATCGTACTTCGCCGCACGTGCCTTGGGATGATCGTTTTAAAGTGCTGACATTGGATGGCGATGTTCAATCAGCAATGATAACAGGCTATCAGATTTGTTCAATCAGAAAATGTCATCAAAAGATTCTGCAAGGGTGTTATCCTTGAATATTTAGAAAACCCAGCAAACAAATATTTTGATAACACCCAATGATAGCCATCTTCATCAAACAACAATAGGATTATATATGTTTTATTCAGATTTATTCAGTAGATTGCTATTCTCCCCATATTCAGAGACCCCCAAATGGGATGATGATCTGCGGGTTGAAGATTCAGCAAAGCACCTCGATGCACTCTAAAGTGGGTTTTAGAGGATTTTGCACCAAAACGAAACAACTTTGCTTAAGTTTCAATGGCATTCAGGATCGTTGATATCAAATCTGTTTGGATTTGACTGTACTTGAGGCTTGCTGAAGCATGGAGTGTATACAGCATGCCCCAGACCGCCAAGGATCACGTCCTGTCATACTTGGAGGAAGAAGGCCTGTCCATTGAACCACAATGGTACCCTGGCATCGTGCGGAGTTGCCCCAAGTTTCACTCATTTCATGGCACCGGGATCCGCTGGCGCCCCGAGGTATTGCCCCATCCTTCCGATGGTCTTGGTCAACGGCGCCGAGGGAATCGGGGTCGGTTGGAGCACCAGCATCCCCAACTACAATCCCCGCGATATCATCAGGCGCGCACGGGGCAAGAATTGTTTGGATGTTTGTTTTCATGTTTTTTTTCTGTGTGCCATGTTTCTATTTCTGGGAAATAGCTAATGTTTTCTCGTTTCTGCGTGTGTGTTCGATCCCATCGGTATGCGCTTCAAGGAAATCATCACCTTTGATGTTTTGAGTCCCCCACCATCAAAGGTACTAAGATACAATGCATGAGGAACTCTTCTCCTTGTTGTCACATGACACTTGGGGAGTGCGCCAGATTTCCCAGGAACATTCGGAAGATGTTGCGCGGCCAAAGCATGGAAGATATGCATCCCTGGTACAAGGCCTGTTCCATTGGGGGTTTCTGTTGTGTCCAAGCAATGGAATCGATGAGTTTTCGCGCTTTCAGAAATGGCCAAGACTGATGTGTAATTAAGATTAATTACAGTAGATTAATTAAGTGTCTATCTATTTCTGTCAGAAGGCTTGCAGTTGTTGGAGTTCTGCAAATTCCAAGCGTGCTCAGACATCTGTTCGTCCTAACAGAACCACATCATTTTTAAGAATGTCACATGTTTCTCAAATTTTGCATTTCGCATGTCAAATGCATAAAAGTTAACCAGCCATATTAATCCAGTTTTGGGGTGTTAACAGTGTTTACGGTACTATATATAGATGGCTTTAGAATGGTTTGGAAATGAGTTTGGATGGGTTTAGTCCCATCCAGGCCTTTCCCACCAACAGAGGTTGCCTTTCCCTTCACCTCAGGGCTTCATGGGCTCCATCGAACCTTCAGAGAAGGAGGATGGCAAGTGACGCCATGGTCGGGTTATCAATGGGAAGTCAGATCCGTAGAACTAAGAACTTAAGATGTGTTGATTGCGGAATTGAGAATAGATATAATGAACTAAAATGAGAATGATTTGGTTCAGCACTATACTAGCTATTATGCTAATATTTGATCTTGTATGATTAGTGGACTTATAATACAAATTATGAGCTGGTAGACAATACCGAACAATCATTGCCAAATATAGTGCCATATTATAAAATGAACTGAATCCTATCAAAACTTGCCACGACATGTTTCTTTGGAAAATATGAAAGTCAGTTAATATATTCACCATATATTAACCATCATTAACTACCATATATTATAACGGTATAACCATCATTAACCACCATTAACCACCATTAACCTTCGAACAGCCAGCGCGCCATAGCGCCAGGTACGAGGTGACGGGTGTCATCACCAAGACCAACGACACCACGGTGGAGGTCACGGAACTTCCCATCAAGCGCCTCGGCCTTGTTCGGTTAACGATGGGTATGGATTCATCATTGATATTGCGGAATGCAAGGTAGCACAAACAGCAACGAAAGATGCTATGGCTTCCTACACACCCTAAACCAAGCGGTTTCACTGCAATTCCTGTTTTGACCAAGCCAGTGAAGGCTCAAGGCCTATTGATCCCAAAGAGCGGCAGCAGGCCACAACATCCAAGAATGTACCTGGCAAATGGAAATGGGACATGGGAAATTCACACGCCCTCTTGTGGACTTATTGCTGCTGCAAACTTATATTCACAGCTGATTCTCAGCTTTCATGCAACTAGCGCGAACGTTGGAAGCGTCCAGTTCCCTTGTTGCCATCAGTCTCAAGCCATTTGATGCGAAGGAGGAATCTGGCAAAGTCAGTGGCCTGGGTATCACAAGGAGTGTCAACATCCTTGCCATAGGTCTTCACCAACCATTGGAGATATCCTTTGGCTTCAGCGTTGTGCAGTGCTTCGGCAACCAACGTAGAATAGCGATATCCCTGATTCTCATACTTCTTCATAACGATCACGGTCTTCGACCAATCATCCACATCAACACAATCCACTGGCAGAGAAATCTTGACATTCTGACGGGTATGGACATCCCTGATCACTTGGCTGATGGTGGTCACATTGGGCTCAACCACGGTAGGCGTAGGAGTTGTGACAGCATCATAGCCACTCGGCAAAGAATTCTCACCACGGCCAACCACACTCCACACAGTTGAACGTGGGCTTTCACCATGGGAACTCTCGATCTCATCCCGAACACGCTTGGCAGCTTCGGACATACCACCAGGCACATCAAAACCTGGGATGTAGTTCTTCAGCCACTGACATGACTGGGGATCTTCGGCAGCTGTACGCTCAAAGATGGGGCGAGCTTGGTTGTTGGCAATCGCCCGAGTGAGCAAACCAACGGTCATCGAAATCTCAACCTCATTCAACTTTGGCGTCTCTGCGGCTTTCTTGGAGATCTTGCGAGGCATCTGGGACATGGCTCTCAGAAATCACGCTAACGGCGTTTGGATCAAAAACTGTACACACTCAGCAGGCTACTCGGTTCAGCTACCTGGCAAATCTCTAAGTGATAAAGCAACGGAAAAACGGCATTTCTGGATGGCTCTCAGTATCTTCACACTGAGACGCATGCAGTTCTGTACATGAAAAAAACTCTTTCAGCATATGACTTTGGCAGGCTTACTTATGGTTATGCAAAAGGTTGCTTCTCACGGCTGTTTACCTTGACTGACCTATTCGGCTCGCTTGTCGCTGGCTTTCTCTTTACTCCCGGACTCCTTACCAACTTTGATCTGATATTTTCCACTCTCCATCAAGTCAAAGAAAGGTTTACTGTCGCTATTGAGTTTTGTGAGAATGTCAGCGGCCATGTACTTATTGTTTATCCAGTATATTTCTATATTTTGACGCAACATGGAGTCTCTGGCAATGGCATATTCTAGTTCTAACTTTTTCTCTTGACTGGTGGATGCACTGCTCAGTTTACTGGAAGCATCATAGAAACCTCTGGAATCCACAACAAGCAAGGCTGGGTGTTTCGGCCTTTGTTTTCGGAATTCTCTGGGTGCAATTCCATACACTGTTTCTGCAAGAAGACCTTGAAAGAACTCTATGGCGTCTAAGGCATTGTTTCCAGCATGTGTTTCTGCGGCTGTTGAGGAACGGACCACACGCTGCAACTTTTTGCTTGCCCAATCCACCAACCACATCGGTGCGGTTTTCCGATCTCTCATCAAGGTATTGGTGAGTCCCAAGAGGTAACCACCCTGCGAATCCCCATTGGCTCTCTTTGCATGGCCGGCATCGGATATACACACTATTCGCCATTGTTCTATGGGAACATTTGAGGGAAACTTCATTACAACTTTTCTTTCTTTCATCTCTCTCAGTGCTTTGTTGTAAAGTTCAACATGGCTTACAGTGGCTTTATCCTGGATACCTTGCAAATAAGAGGCTAAGAATGCTTTGTCAGGACGTGTTGAACCTGCGGCCCATGCCAGCTGTCCAGCACACCTTCGCAGCAAAGAAGGATCACGCACAGGGCTTCCTGAAGACCCAAGGCTCTTCGTTGAGACAGGCTCCAAGGAATCGATGTATGTTTCCTGATTGATCTCAATGGCACATGTATTGGGGTTCTGACGAATCTCTATTCCAGTGTAACGGATTGTATATGTTCTAAAATCACCAAAGGGAAGACACTTCCTCAGTTTTTCAAGAACAGCATCCATTTCTGGGGTTCCTCCACCTAGAAGATCGTCAACATGAACACCACAAACACCAACCAGTTCGTTTTTGGAATTTCTCAGGGAAAACAAACAGCGGTCCAATTGGGAAACCTTTAGACCTTGTTGGGCTAACTCTCGGCTCAACCTAAGAAACCAGGCCCGTGGGGCTTCTGCTAGCCCGTAGGCTGCTTTCTCCAAGCGAAACAGGTCCTCGTCGGTGAGGTCCATCCATCTTTTTATTTCAGGGGGCGGTCTGAAGTACAACTGTCTCTCAGAAGGGTCTCCGCTCAGGAATGCGGTTTTGATATCTGCTCCCCAAATTCGCCATTTCTTTGCGGCACAAATTGAAAGAATCAGATTTTTGGACTCCTTTTTGAGGGTTGGACTATCTGTAGCTATTTTTCCTAGTTCAGGATCTTGCCATCCCACTAGTACTAGTCTAGCTTTGGGGGTTTTTGACCTATCATCTGGGTCTGATGATTTTTTCCACACTAAAACCCATCGCGCCCTGATCACCCGTTCTCTGGGAATTCCCCGGGATTTACAGATGGAGGTTACTTTGTTATCTATCCATGACTGCCACTCCTTTTTCATTGCAACCTCAAACCTTTTCTTATCCTCCTCACTCAATTTCCGGAAACTGACCTCTACCCGGCGTTGTTTCGCTGGCTGCTGCACGACGAAGCAATCTTCAATCACTTCCCACAAGCACAACTGTTGTTCAGTGATGTCCTCTGGGCGGACTTCTATAGATACTTCCATGACATCATGCTTACCAGGAACCGGATTGTTTTCTTCATGTTCTACAATCAGTTCATCACCATCATCCATTGGCACCGGAACTTCATGAGGTTGTACAGCTCTAGGTTCGGGTTCTGCAGGTGGCATTGGATCATTGACTGCGGTTTCATCTTCGGAAGTGATCGGAGGTTGTGATTCAGGAGTTTCAGGCAAAGCTTCTGACTGTACACCAGATTGCGCATCTTGACCGATCTCTGCATCATCAAGGCTGGGTCTTGGCGATTTGGCAGGCGAAGTTGGCTCGTATGAGTATTTTTCAACATCATCGGTTACAGTAACTTGCCTTTTTCTATCTGGTTCTACATTATCATCTTCATCGGGTTCTAAAGACCTACTGGATTTTAGGCGGGCTACTTGGGGGAGGTCTACATCATCATGTAGTGGCCCTAGTGGCGGTGCGCCCTCTGCCCTTCTTCTCCAATAGTCATCTGACCTGTAGAACCTACGCCTGATCTTTTTGGGACCTTGTTCAAGCTGTGAGTCTTCTACATTCGGCTCTTCCCACAAATCATCCTCAAGTTCATGATCTTCTTCTATGGGTTTGTGTTCTTCTGAAAGATCTTCGAACTGACCTGATTTGGAGGAAACATTTTGTTCAGCTTGCTCCAGCTCGGGATGCAGACGTCCTTCCGACAAAGAACGGGCAAGGCTGCGGAATTCAGCTTCGTCCTCTGGCACTGGTCGAAGTCCCTCTGGGCTGCACCTGTATAAGTAACCATTATGGCTTACCCAAACAAGTCTAGGAACTGGACCCCCGCTTTCGCTTTCTATCCCCACTACTCTACCCGGACCTATCCAAACTCCATGACGTGTTGACAAAAGACCTCTGGCTCTACGACGGAAGACATAAACCAATTGACCAACTTGGTATGGACCCCGGATGGGTCTTGTTCTGCCGGCGACAGCTCGGCGCCAGATGTCACGTGCATGTTCTTCATGAAATGCTACTGCAGCTTGTTCTCTCAATCGAACTTTATCATGGAAATCAGGATCGGCGAGGTATCGTGAAGCAGTGGTTATGTTGTTTTGTTGTTCAAGGTCTCTCAACATACCAACTTG